GCCTCCCGGGTGCTGGGGGGCCCGCCGGCCTCGCCCTTGGGCAGCGGGCTGTCCAGGTCGCCGTAGAAGGACCGGTACTTCTGGAGCTCGTGCTCGAAGCGGTCCTTCTCCTTGTCGACCTTGGCCATCTTCTTTCTCATCAGGGCGGCCTCCTCCTTGGCGAACTGCAGCTGGCACTTCAGGTCCTCGTTGTCCTCCTCGTGGGGGGAGAGGGGGGAGAGGACAGGTCAGTCGCGGGCAGGTCGAGGACGCCGCCCGAAGAGGACACCCGCAACGGCGGCGCCTTTTTCTTGTAATCCAGAGTGAATGGCATGCACCCCCCCCCCCCCCCCCCCCCACACACACAGACGCACACACACACACAGACACACACACACAGACACACACACACACAAGTAAAGGCTGGGGCTTTCTTCAGGTCACTTACATCCTTCGGCAGATTACAGACTGGGACAGTCTGGTAACAAAACAGGTAAAGGAGTATGAAAGGAGAAAAGCAGTGGACACTACTTCTCAGGGATGGCGACGCTCTTTGCTTTGTGTCTGCTTTGTGAAGTGATACTATGATAAATGTAGAATCTACTCACTGGAAGGAACATGCGGTGAATATGCACCCGCTGCCACTTGTTGGGCACTTACGCTGTGCCAAATGTAGAGTTACCCAAATGACCTAATTTAATATTCAGAGTAAACCTATGAGCAAGGGTTAAACCTTCCAGTTTAAAGATGTTTAGTGTGCCGGGCGCGGTGGCTCAGCCTGTCATCCGGCGCCTTTGGGAGGTGAGTGGATTTCCTGAGCCCACGGGTTCGAGACCCGCCTGAGCAGCAAGACCTCATCTCTACAATCAATCAAAAAATTAGCCGGGCGTGGTAGCGCGCACCTGTAATTCTGGCTACTCGGAAGGCTGAGGCGGAAAGATCGCCGGAGCCCAGCAGTACGCCACTGCACTCCAGTCTGGGCGACAGAGTGAGACTCCAACTCAAAATAAAAATAAAAATAGATGTTTATGACTTGTTCAAGGCAAAGGGCAAAAGGGGAGATTGAAATTCAGCTCTGTCTGAAACTAAGGCTCAGGTGGCATGATCACGATGCCATCTAGAAAATAATCATCCCCAGCTTTATTTAAAAGACAATGGTTTTAAAAGCCTTCAAGTAGGGAGCTTCTGATGCTGGAATGGCCTATCCAAGGAGACACTGTCAGGTATTCCACCTAGATCACTTTTTAAATAGGATGTACTCCCACCAGTTTGAAATGGATCAAGCTGGTCCTGTCTGGTGAAAGGACAATGGAGCAGAACCTTCAAAGTTCCTCTGACATGTCCTTGCGGTAACCTGCAAAGCCTCATCACAGATTATACTGAAAAGTGTTAACAGGAGAAATGGAATTCACTCCTTCTCTGAGGGCTATCATAGAAGCACGTTTCGAAGTCTTTTGCTTCTTTTGTGTTTCTTTCCCAGAGGCAACACGTGCAGTAGAAGGAACGGGTGGGAATTGGCCTGAACACAGATTGTGCTGTCACTGAATAACTTATGTCAGGCTGGGCTCAGTGGCTCAGCCTCTAATCCCAGCACTTTGGGAGGCGGAGGCAGGTGGATTGCCTGAGTCCGCGAGTTCAAGCCTCACCCGGGCAACTTGGTGAGACCTCATCTCTATAATAAATAAAAAATTAGCTGGGCATGGTAGTGCATGCCTTTAGTTCCAGCTACTTGGAAGGCTGAGGTGGAAGGATCGCCGGAGCCCAGCAGGTCAAGGCTGCGGTGGCCGTGAGCGTGTCACTGCACTCCAGTATGGGTGACAGAATGAGACTCTAACTCTAACCCTAACCCGAAAAAATTAAAATAAAATAACTTGTCACCCAAGGACAATTTCCCAAATTCTCTTTTAAGTGCATACTTTGAGCCAATCATGTAACTTTTGGGGAATTTGATTTCCTCATTTTTCTTTCTTTCTTTTTTTGAGTTGGAGTCTCACTCTGTTGCCCAGGCTGGAGTACAGTGGCATGTTGCTCACAGCCACTGCAGCCTCGACCTGTTGGGCTCAGGCGATCCTTCCACCTCAGTCTTCCACGTAGCTGGAACCACAGGCACATGCCACCACGCCCAGCTAATTTCTATACTATAGAGATGAGGTCTCACCAAGTAGCCCAGGGTGTTCTTGAATCCCTGTACTCAGGCCATCCTCTTGTCTC